AATTGCGCATGCGTGTCATGTGCCTGTCTGTCAAAGGGAGGAAGCCACGCCCTATTTTGGAGCTCCCGCCCCCATTTGGAGATCTTCGGGCTGCAGTTCTCCATTTCAGAATACCACATAAAGTGTTCACCAGCAAAAACCGATAAACGACATTTTCAAAAAAAATTAGCTGAATGCTGTGCATTATTCTCCACATATAGCGCGATCTGAACCCTAAACACGTTTTGTCAAAAAAGCCGGTTTTGTCCACTTTCAAGGCATCGCGAGTTCACGTTTTACTGCAGAAGCCGACAGGCGCCCATGAACCACCATGTGATATTTGGTCTGTAATCAAAGATATTTCTGGTCCTAGAGTCACCCCATGATTCACGACTGATCCCCTGCACTTACTCATCTCTTCTGATCATCTTATTTGCATTCTTAATTTACAGGGTGAATGAATCTATAAATGCACAAACTGAAACGCGAGATATTTTAAATCCAGAAAAACGTTTTTAATGCCTGTTGTTCTCTGCTCCGCCAGCGAGGGCGCTCAGACAGCGCGCACAACTGAACGGGCCAATCAGGAGCACCCAGCTGGAGTGACGCCACTTCCGTGACAATAGGGTCAGCGTGACTGATTTATCAACAATAACAAGAGCCGCGCGGAACAGTTTGGCGATCAAAGTGCGAGGCTTCAAATGACATGAGGTGGATAAACTGACGGTTAGGAGACGCGTCCTGTCCCGCGGCACACTGAGGAGCTGCTCCTTCAATGTAAGACACTTTATGATGATGGAGGGACGTTTTCGGCTCTAGCTAGCTAAATATTAGCTGAAGTATGATCATTCTCAGGTGTTTGTTGACTTACAAACATACATTCTCTTTCCGAGTCATTTAACATTTAGTCGTCTGTTTTGGTGACTGGTGCTGTCTGATTTAATATATGTATCCTCGTGCGGTAGCCCAAGAGAAATTCGTCTGACATTGATTTAGCACCAGTGTCTTTTATAAATGTTCTGTTATTTTATAAAATCACAAACGAATGTCGCAACACCTTTATCTCTTTATCATTACGTTATTATCATGTGACGGTTTGTAAATTGTTCCTTCTTTGAAAATGTACGTATGTTGTTATGGGCTCATTTACAATATGTGGTTGTGGATAGTTTTGGGTAGATTTGCAGTGAAATATTAATAGATGTTCAGTAGAGTGCCACACACACACACACACACACACACATATATATACGTGTATATATATATATATATATGTGTATGTGTGTGTGTCTGT